CCCCAAAACCCCAAAACCCCAAAACCCCATCATTCTAGTTTAGAGTAAATAATTTCAATAGTAATTATTTTAAAAATGAATAAGTTGACAAGATAAATTGGTAAGAGGTTGCTTATTGAGCCTAAAAGTACAGCATTAGTAACTGAAGAAGCAAAGAATTAGATACTATTAGGCTTAAAAAAGAATGGAGTTGTTTGTTTAAATCAAGGATTGCTTACTCCTTAACAATAGTGTGATTTGACAAGGAGTTTATTCACAGATATAATTAGGTTGCCACCAATCTTAGGCTTTGATAATTAGGATCCTGAATGTCAAGAAGTATCAGTGATTACAAACACTAATCCTCAAGGCAAGGTTGAGGCCAATCTCACAGCATCAGCTAAATGGAGTTAAGATGGGCATTTCTATCGACCTTAAGATTCAAATGTATTCAACCTGCTACATTCAGTGGTCACTCCCAAATCAGATGGACAAGTTTGGTTTTTAGATCTAGTTTCTTGCACTGATTTTATCAAGACTGAACGTAAAAGTCTCTACAGAGAGCTTAGTTAGCTTTATGTCAAAGTTGATACAAGTAGGATTCCAGAGTTAAAAGGGATTAAGCCTGAAGATGTTGATACAGATTAGATAACCTATCACAAGATGATTAATGTGAATCCATTTAATAATGAAGAAGTCATATTTTTGGGATCTGCAGCAAGCAGTGAGATTGTAGATAAGAATAAGAATCCGATTAATGATTTAGGCACTATTGAAGAAATTATATAGATGTTTGTTAGTGAGCATGATATATACAGACATCATTGGCAAGAAGGGGATATTATGATTTGGGATAATATATAGGTTATGCATAGATTCCAAGAAATATGCAGTGGCAAAAGAATACTTCACAGAACTCAAGGACAATAAAAAAGAAGTCTAGGGCTTTGAAGAACTCATTTAAATTATACACTCAACTCGCTTTTTAAATCCAAGATTTACACTTATTTTTATTTCTATTAAAACTTTTATTTACTTATAATTCTGTCCTGCGGGGTTTTGGGGTTTTGGGGTTTTGGGG